AAAGCATGGAATTAAAAAGCCTGAAATCATAGATAAAGAACGAGGTATGGTGTGGATTGTGGGTTTGAGGGGGAAGCAGGGGAACTCGCTCAATAACTCAGATGTGCATAATAACTCGGCAAAAAATCCACTGAACAATGGTCTCATATCAAGAAGGAAAGCTCGTACGATAGGACTCCACGTAAAATCGCACGTTCCACTGTTGGCCTGCAAAGACTAAAATAATATTTCAGAGACTACACTGATGGCTCCCATAACTCTGACAGTGGTATGGTGAGAAGTGCAGTCATTATAAAACCAGCCTGAACTGCTATAATACAGTGGCTGTATTAGAATTAATAACCTGGGCTTTTAATTATGAAAATGAACAGTTAGATATATTTGCTCTCCAAGCTTGTGGAAACGATAACTACAGACAAGTTATCTACTGATTCTTTCCTTATTACTTGCTCTTCTTATATTACCTGAGAGTTGAAGTAGCATATACTCAAATTATACCTCTCACAAAAAGACTTTCGAGAGGTAGCATGCGAACAAAATTGAATGATTTAACGCCCTATTGACTGTCAAAGGCCCATCCTTGCAATGTCACCTGGTGTCGCAAATTTAAAAAAAATTCTATTTTTCTTTATGATAAATGTTCATGAATTAAATTTTCGATTTTTCTTAGGTCAAAAAAAAAACAAAAAATTTCCCATTACAGCTTACCGAGATATAGAGGCATGGAAGTTTGCATAAAATAGATCGGCGTATGACAACAGCGGCGAGAGTGCTAGCTTTTCACAACCTGAGTAAACGTTTGGTTTACTCTTATTCCGACCCGTTTCTCTTGTTTGTTTTTCACTAGTTTATTTTTTTTTACAAAACTTTATTGCCTTGTGAGAAACCAAAGTATGGCGTGCAATGTTCATATTACAACTCTCGTTGAATGTAGCACATTTATAACAAAAACACTATTTCATCATAATGAGTTCATAAAAACTTGTTACGGAAACAAACAACAATTATAAAAAATTGTTTAATACGATTGATTTTATAATATATATGACAAATGTACAATCACACTGGACACTTCTCCTAGAACTGCTGCAGCTTGTGGAATTCTTTGAAACATGAAGTTATAAGCACAATGAGGTTTTTTACCTTCGCACACACATGAACGAGTGATCCTTGTTTTTGTGGGCGTTTTGCGGTATATTCCACAACAACACACCCCTTCTGAGCATTATTTCTCTGAGAGTCTAGTAGCATGTAGTGGTATAACGGGTAGTGAGATCACCAAGAACCTCAGACGAGAAGTACGTGTGTTGATAATTCGTGGGCGCTGTCTATTGCAAGTGTTGTTCCTTGGTACTTGAATATTATTTGTCTGATGACTAACAACAAAATTCACTGTATTTGGGTTTGTTGTTGGTCTTCAACTTATACATATTATAAGCATTCAGCATGGAAGTGTCAAGAAGATGGAAAAAGAGTTTTATGTACCACTTATAACTCTTGTGAACACAGTCAGCAAACCCAGTCTTCATGTCACATTTGTCCACTAAGTGCATATTGAGGTTGTAATCCATCACAGCTGCAGGTTTTACAATGGGTTCATTGATCTCTCTATTCTGCTTGCCACTGTCTACCATTTCGTGTCGGTGAACTGATGTCAACAGTGTGACATCACGTTTGTCATGCCACCGAAATGCCATGATGTCATTGGCAGCAAACACCTGCACCTCACCTCTATGACTGCCAGCGTCGAACCTAGGCATATGCTTACGATTTCCACACACTGTGCCACACACATCTGTCATGTTCACTAGCAAGAAATCGCTGAGTAAAGGGCTTGTGTACCAGTTGTCAGTGTATAAAATATGCCCCTTACCAAGATATGGTTCTATCATTGTTCTAACCCCATCACCAGAGATACCCAGTAACTTCCTGGTATCTTGCAATGTTTTACTGCCAGTGTACACAATTATATCGAAAACCTGACCAGTTTTGCAATCACACAGAACAAATAACTTTATACCAAAGCGTTTCCTCTTGCTTGGTATATACTGCTTGAATGAGAGTCTTCCTTTGAACAAAATCAAAGACTCATCAATAACAAGCTTCCTGAAGGGATAAAAATACATACAGCACTTTTGTTTCAGGTACATAAACACATTTCTGATCTTATATAACCTGTCACTTCTGTCAGGCCTTGTTTTGTCTGAAAAGTGTAGCATACGTAACAGTAACACAAATCTATTCACTGGTATAATGTCACTGAAAGCTGGGGTTGAAATCAGGCGGTCTGTCGACCAGTATGTGTTGACGGTGTGCTTATACACATGCGGCATAAACATTTATTGTGGTAAAGAACAGATACATCTCTGCCACAGTTGTGTCCTTCCACTGGTGTAGGTGTGATCTTGGTGAAAGAATTGTGTTTGCCATGGTGTACTCAAAGTGTGTATTGCTTTCCCTGAAAATAATGTCCATCAATGGTTCATTGAAGAACAACTGAAAACATTCCAGTTCAGTGGCATTGTTCCCAAGTGTACATGATGGCCGTATTCCACTTTGTGTTTCATCAAAGTCATGGGGACTGGGAACAAACTCGTCACCTTGCTGCCAATCCCAGATGTGGTCAGCTGGTGAGTTCTGGATATTGAAACGTGGTTGTGCAGGTTGTGGTTGTGGTTGTTGTGGGAGTGTGGGGTTGGGTGAGGCTGGTTGTAGTTGTGCAGAGTCAGCAGCGTCGGTAGTAGCGTGGCCCGCTGCTGGTGCCACATGACTCGTGCCACCATTACTATCACCACCACTACCTGCTGCCTCACTCACATCATTCATACCCGGCTTAACAATATTGTCATCTTCACTATCAGGTCGTGGTGTAGGGCCACGGGATGTGCTCTGAGATTTACTCCTTTCCCTTGGAACAGCATATGGCACACTACCAGACCACAAGCGACGTCGTATATACTGCCACTTCACTGGGGAATATTCACCCTCACTGTCACAATTAGAACTGCTTTCAATAGCTTTGAAATCACTATCACTATCACTTTCACTGCTCACATCTGAGTCTCGTACACGAGCAAAGAGTTTCCTCTTTCGTCCTGGTACAGGTGAACATGAACGAGCCGGCGCAGCACCAGTGGTGGAAGGTTATTTATTTATTTATTTAATGTCTTTGCAAACAGTACATTGAGATTGTGTATATACAATAGTGGGATGCAATGCAAAGAGAGCCTCTATTATGCCTTGGCATTATAGGCCAACTTAACATTATTGGCTTACATTCTACTTAATGCTAAGAAATAGTATATCATAGTTATACAGCAGGAAAGTAATTATTTCATAGTTGTACAGTAGAATATTAAAAGCTCGTGTGTGTGCGAGTTCTCTTCTGAGCTGCTTCCTGGTGTTATCACTGCAACAACATTATTATCTATATTCCTCCATTTTAGGTGCCTCAAGTTGAAATCCCCCAGGAGCTAGATGTTGGGGGCTGCAAGATTTTCCAGACAGTGGTCAATATTCAACAGCTGTTCCTGGAATTGTTGGGATGTTGCATGCGGAGGCTTGTAGACTACCACAATGACTAGGTTTTGGTTCTCGATCTTTACTGCTAAAACTACCACTACATCATTTGAGGCATTTAGCAGTTCTGTGCAAATAAATGATTCTGCGATATACAGGCCAACCCCTTCCCCCCCTTTTGCCTGTTCACTCTGTCGCATCTGTATAGGTTGTAACCTGGGATCCATATTTTGTTGTCCAAGTGATCCTTTATGTGGGTCTTCGTGAAAGCTGCAAACATTGCATTTGCCTCTGCAAGCAGTCCACGGATGAAAGGTATTTTGTTGTTCGTTGCTGGCTTTAGACTCTGTATATTTGCAAAGAAGAATGTCATTGGACTGGTGGTACTGGGGGGGGGGGACTTTTTTTCCAGCACTGATATCTGTATCTGTTGGTTTGGAGTGGAGGCCATCGACTGTGGTTCCACTCCAGAAATGACTGGATTTGGTGTACGATTTCTGCCATTTTGCACCATTTTTTTTTCTTCCTGGCACTAAATTCCCTCTCCCTCTTGAATGGCTGTGGCTACCCAGGTTTTCCCATGGTCTGGCTGTTTTGTATCTTTTTGTCCCCTTTAGATGGTGTGCCTGGCAATTTAAGTTATAGCACTGTCTTTCCTGTACTGAAGAGGGACACATTTCAGGGTGAAAAAGCTTACAGGAAGGGAGTTTGCATTTTCCTGTTTTCATATGGGCATGACATTTTCTAGAGTGGTCAAAGTTGCACGTCCCATCTGTTTTTCTAGATTTTCCATGCCTGCAGATACCAAATGCATAATATGTGCACAGGCTTGGTTTCCATTTGCCTTGGGTTTTTGTGACTGTATTCCCTGTTGGTGCATGCTTTCCTGTCTCATTCCTATCCTCACTAGTACTAACAATGGAGCTCTCACCAGTTGTTTTTGGTAATATATCCTCACTATTACTAGTGGAGTTCCCTTGTTTGCTATCTCCTGTGGTATTACTAGTTTGTAATATTAGTTTTATCTTGTCCTTGACTACACTTGTTTCCCCACTACAGCTCCTGTCTCCCTCGAGGCCATTTATATGCATTCCCTCATGCGTACATTTACTGTCTACCTGGACAGTTGATAATAACAAAATACTGAAGGAGTATTTTGTCCTGTCTCCAAACAAACTCTCATCTGCCATCAGCACCACTACATATTCACATACTTAATGACATATTTTATTCATTCTAGAGTATATATCAGGTTTCTGTGTTATTTGTATTGTTTATTATGTCATATTAGATGAATATTGATAGATAAATAAGCCATAGGGAAATACAATAGTGTGTAACTCTGTAGGTTATGTATAATGTACATTGTAAATGTTATTAGAGAGCATTGTAATTTTGATTACTTTGCAGCAAAAGTTTAGCTTAAGCTATAGGATGTCTAATTTGAATTAGAATCCTGATAATTTTTTTTCCTTTTACAGCTCATCAGTGAACTGCAGAAGGCACACTTGCAGTGTGCATATTCTGCATAATCTTGGGTGATGTAAATGCTGCAGATACACTGTGTCGCCCCTTTATGCTATAAACTCAGACTGCACCGTGAAATAAAAGAAACATTGAAGTTCCTCTTTCCCTAAGAGGTAGTGCACATGTTACATGAACATTGAAGTTCACCTTTTGCATATAAAAAGGTGCATAATCACTAAACTGTATTAAAAATAAACAAAACAGAATTGCCACACAAATTAAGCATATCATTATTCTGTCTTAACTCATTTCAGTAATTTTACCTTGAAGAACCTGTATATCATATTAGAGAAGACTTCTATTTCTCATGAATTCTTCATGTATATTTGGAATAGCAGAAATAAAATGCTTTGCTGAATTCTTTTCTAATTTTTTCAAGGAAATATGGCAGAGTGTATTTTATGGAAGTCACATCAGATAAATAATCAAGTCATCATTCATTAGTGTAGCTCACTAGAAATACAGTATAAGACTTCATTCATTATAGGAACCATATAGATTTTAAGTGTCTGATTGACTTTGTACTAATACCCAATTAACAATTGTTCATTTAGGAGAGAAACCTTACTGATGTTCCATGTTTATTAAGCTCCATTAACATATATGTTCTTGCAAAAGTTTGTTATTTATTTTTCAAGCTCTTTTAAGAATCTTGGAACAATTCATCTTTGTGGTACCTATTTACTACTGAATGAGCACTACCTGTGGATGTAAAATTACTTGGCCATACAATTTGACCCCCTGTGATGCAAATCCACAAACTTTGTCTGATGCTGTCTGCTTTGACCAAATTAAATTAAACTTAGATATATTTGTTTATATTTAAAATTCCTTTTACAAAATATTTATATATTTTTAACTATATCTCTTAAACAAGCTAATTTTGTAATACTAGATATATCATATTTAAAAAGAAGTCATTTTTGTACAGTGTCCAATGAATTTACAAACAATTCGTCTAGCAGACAGTATGGGAAAGCATACTGGAGACAAACTATATCAGTGTTCTGAGGTTTTTA